TTTTTTTTTTTTTTTTTTTTTTTCCCCCGCCTCAAATTGACCGACGGAATCGTCGCGGTTATGCGGCGGGACGATGGGCCCCCGGGATCCCGCGGCGACACAATGAGCCCTTTCGGCTGACGTTTTAGAAATCGTTTCCGACAATCATATCGACGAAACGCCTGCGCGATGATAATAAATTTCGAAAACCCGCCGCCCGTATATTATACCTATAACTCGCCGTTCTGTTTCGACGGTATGCCCGCGATAATTTATCATATAGTCTTTTCCGAGTTAAAAAAAAAAAAATGCGGGTTGCCGTTCGAAAATCAAAAAGTCGATACACGCGCGTTCATTGGCACGGTACGCCGGATGATCCGTTTAGATGACGGATACACGCCTCATCATTGTCTAGGAAAGTAATGACTTTTTTCGAATTTGTTTTCGCGCGAAAATTTATGAAACAAGCAGCTGTAAAATATTGCACCGCCATTATTTTCCGTCACCTTTATTTTTGGCTGTGAAACGGATTGATTTTCGAATCGCCGCCAACATTATCAATTCTATACAAATAGATGTGTTAAAATAAATGTTGACGTTGACATTTTCTCAAATTCCGTATACCCGCTGACGAGATAATCTGACACTCCTAAGTTTGGATACGGAGTAAGTAGTGGTACGTCGTACGGACGGTGGCCGTACGGCAGTCGTTTCACACGCGAAAAAAAGGCGAGACATCAAACGGTGTACAATGTTCAACAATTTAGAGTTGCTATTGTTTCTGAAATTGTTAAAACAAATTTTAACAAAAACCCATACTTTCCGATATAATGAGTGTACCCACTGGAATGGATCGCCCGTAATGGTATTAACGGATCAATGAGGATATTTGAACACATTGTAAACATGATATTATTAATACCGCCGATTTGTGATAAAAGTGTCGTCGTGTTTGCTACGTTAGTATAAAATATTATACTGTATTATCAGGGACGGTTAAACGGGACGATGAGGGAGACGTGTTATTCATTATCTAATTTTTTCGAAATACTTATAATACTGTATATTATAGCAATAATAAAAAACCAAAAAAAAAAAAAAATGTAAATAATAACGGTTCACAATAGTAATCCTCATATCCCTCTTCCCCATGACACAATACGGGATAATCTCATGTTTTCGTTCAGTAGAACCCAATGGTGTGCCGTCAGTTTTAACATTGGAATGATTATCGGCCTTGGGAATATTATCTGTACGTCCATTTTCTACTCAAAATTTTAATTTTCAAACGAGACACGAACGTGTGGATATCCATCTGAGCAATCCGTAGAAAATTGTAACATTTTTGAATCGATGGTCTTGGTGTTTGATAATAGGCCGTTAGAATATTAAAAATTAAAACCAGCGGTGAGCTGATATGATTTTTTCCCGATCCACCAGGTATTTATTCCGATATTTGGTGCCGATATAAAACCGATCCCCGACCCTATATATAACCGAAAGCCGTTATTTGTTATTGAGATATTAACCGATTTATCGGCCGAGAATCCGATATCTTACGATTTTTGTTTTTTACTCCAGAGACATCTGTTTTTTTTTTTTTGTTTTTTTGTGGTAAACATCGGTTTTGAAATTGAAAAAAAAAAAAAAAACCCCGACGCCAATCGAGCCGAACAGCACAAATGCCGACAACCACATGCGATTATTTAAAGTACACGCGTACATTTTCGATTCGGCAGGATTGCCGGTTTCCCCGCCTCGAAAACGAACGATAACTCCGGAACACGTATTGCCGTGTTACTATACAGTATTACGGTAACGCAATCGCGGTACCGCGGTCGTGTTATACGACTGTTTCAGAACGATCGAACACAACATTCGTGTTTCGACGTGTGATGTTGCTTGTAAATTAATTTTCGCGTTAAAAAAAAAAATCTCGAAAAATAATCCACTATAATTTTCCGGCTCGTCTCGTCCGTCGCTGACACACGCTCGCACAAACACGCACGCACACGCACACACACACACACACACATACACACACACACGCGCGCGCAAACACAAACACACACACGCGTCACGATATTATAATGGGATATAATACTATATATGTATACGTATACGCGTCGTATATTATTATTATGATTATGATTATGTACTACCGTCGTACACGTCGTTAGAACACGTTTCGATTGTGATAACAGGCATAGGCTGCGGTGCCCGGGCCGACGGCGAATACCCGATACCCGCCGTGTCTCCTTTGTGTCTGCCACGGAGCGTACGCGTTTTTTATTATTATTATTTTTTATTATTTTTTTTTTTTTTTTTTTTTTTTTTTTTACGGGTCACGTCGGCCGCGAAGAACCACGTGGGTGCTCGGTGCACGTGCAACCTGTGGACGCGTATAATATCACGGCCCCCGCCTCCTCCCCCCCCGCCCCCGCCGACAAGTACGTGTACGAGCGAGCGTGTGCGCGTGTGTGTGTGCGTAAAATACGGATAACAATAATAATAGTCGTAGAGTATAGACCACGATAATATTATTACACTCGGTCGAGCGGGACCGAGAGTCGTCGTCTCGAGCACATAGTAATATAGTAATTCGATATTATACCGAGCGATCCGCGTGATAACGAAACGACGGAGCCCACTCCAGAGATAATCATCGGTCTCTGAAAAGGTCCTCGTCGATAAAAAAAAGACAAAAAATAAATAAATGAAAAATACGCCCTGGCGACCGAACACAAAAGAGTAAAGACGCACCGAAAAATACCGTCTGTAAAACGGTGGCTTTTTGTCGATGAACGATTTGTTTAGATTTCGACTCCGAATGGTTTTACTGATGATTTTACTATGATGCGTGTGTTTTTTTTTCTGTCCGACGATTAATTTTCCACTGGAAATCTCGCTTCGAACAACAAACGACGAGTTAGCTTTTTCGTAGCATTTCGAATCCAGCCGGTGCGTTGAGGAGGACAATTTCCAATTTTCCGAGTAGTTTTCGAAATAATTGAGAAAATGTTCGTAGTTCG